GGAAGGAAGGAAGGAAGGAAGGACTGAAGGAAGGAGGGAAGGAAGGAAGGAAGGAAGGAAAGGTGGAAAAAAAAAAGGGAGGAAAGGAATGAGGTTAGCTCTAATGTGGAGAAAGCTATGGGGGTGGGAATGTGGAAAAGATTCAAAAAAGAAAATGGGGGCTAGGAATGTGGCTTAGTGCTTGCCTACCATGCATGAAGCCCTGGATTCAATTCCTCAGTACCACATAAACAGAAGAAGCTGGAAGTGGCTCTGTGGCTCAAGTGGTAGAGTATTAGCCTTGAATAAAAGCAGCTCAGGGACAGTGACCAGGCCCTGAGTTCAAGCCACAGGACTGGCAAAAAAAGAAAGAAAATAGGGTTGGGATGTTGCTCAAGTGGTCAAGTGGTAAGTTGCCTGCCTAGCATATGTGAGTTCAAATCTCAATACTGCAAAAAAAAAAAAAAAGATAGATAATAGAGTTTACAAAGGAGATAAAAAGATTCACAAAGATGAAGCTGAGTTTGAATTTATGGATTTGTTCTCCCATGAGGCACAGTAGAAACACTAGAAACATTTTCAACATTTTTCTCCCTCTCTACTTTTTAAACTATGTCAAATTAATAATCCCTTTCATTGCTTTTCCTATTCATTTCTCTTTTCAATAATGACACCTCAGTTCTTGCTCTTTTTTCTGCATATCTGTACTTCAATAATACCATGCTAACCTGTCATCCCGCTTGAATTAGACTTCTAAATTAACTTCCTAAGGCACCACTTTGATCATGTTACTTTTTTGCTCCCAAATCTTCAAAGGCACCACTCCCACTGTTTTCTGAATAAAGTTTGGACTTTCTTGTATTTATCTGCAATTCAGTCATACTTTTTTTTAAAAAAGTTTTTAAAGTCTTTTCTATATACAAAATCATGTTCTCCAATAGACTTTCCTCTTACTTTAGTCATTAGCAAATACTTTTTTTTTTTTTTTTTTTTTGGGGTCCGGTTGTGGGGCCTGGGCGCTGTCCCTCAGCTCTTCAGCTCAAGGCTAGCGCTCTACCACTTGAGCCACAGCGCCACTTCTGGCTTTTTTCTTTTTGCTTATATGGTGCTGAGGAATCGAACCCAGGGCCTCAGGCTTGCAAGGCAAGCGCTCTACCACTGAGCCACCTTCCCAGCCCTATTAGCAAATACTTTCTATAGCACCTTTATTTGGAAGCATTTGTCTAGGCTAGTGATAAAATCACTCAGTTAAATCTCCTAGAGACAGACCAGCATCAGATCAGATCTCAGGAGGAAAATTACCCAGATGTTTTACCTGAAATAGCCAACTGGCCTCTGTCCATGCTCAAAGGCCATGGGAGGAATTATAACCATGAGATTCAAGAGAAAACACTGAAAACAAATTATAGAAAAATGAGAGAATCAGGGGGCTGGGAAGGTAGCTCAGTAGTAGAGTGTTTGCTTTGCATGCATGAGGCCCTGGGTTCAATTCCTCAGTACCACCTAAGCAGAAAAAGCCAGAAGTGGCATTGTGGCTCAAGTGGTAGAGCACTAGTCTTGAGCTGAAGAGCTGAGGGACTACGCCCAGGCCCAGAGTTCAGGTCCCATGACTGACAGAAAGAAAGAAAGAAAGAAAGGAAGAAAGAAAGAAAGAAAGAAAGAAAGAAAGAAAGAAAGAAAGAAAGAAAGAAAGAAAGAAAGAAAGAAAGAAAGAAAGAAAGGAAGGAAGGAAGGAAAGAAGGGAGGAAGGAAGGAAGGAAGAAAAAATGAGAGAATCAGGGCTGGGAATATGGTCTGGTGATAGAGTGCTTGCCTGGCATGCATGAAGCCCTGGGTTGGATTCCTCAGTACCAAATACACAGAGAAAGTCAGAAGTGGCACTGTGGTTTAAGTGGTAGAGTGCTAGCCTTGAGCAAATGAAACTCAGGAACAGTGCCCAGGTGCTGAGTTCAAGCCCCAGGACTGGCAAAAAGAAAAGAAAAAGAAAAATGAGAGAATCATGTTGAAGGGAAGGAAAGAAGTCTGGCCACTTGTGCAGAGAGCAAAGAGTATAGGAGAGGGAGAAAGTAGACTGTTCCACACTGATGGAAAATGAAATATCCCTGGGCTTTAGTGGTATGCTTGCATATATAGCACCTGCACTCCACTCGTTTTACATATATTTGGAGTACCCATTATAAGCACTGCTAGATTTATAATGTAATTTGAGACTGAGCTCGTGAGCAGGCCTAGGCTCAGGAATTTGAATCTATGGACATTCAAGTGTTGCTTAGGGTATTTATAGTCTTCTATGAACAAAATCAATGGCTTTTTAGCAGTACAATAAATCACTAAGGTGAAGGGTAACAGTCTAAAAAGTGAGTAAAAGTGGATGATTGGCCAACAGTATCCTGGGAATACTGAGTAAGCGTGACAGTGTGGATTTGTAAAAGGCAAAGTGACCTCAGATTTTAGGCTTCAAGGCCTCTGTATAAGCCAAGCACTAGGGACTTACCCTTGTAGTCCTAGCTACTCAGGAGGGTAGGATCTGAGGATCACAGTTCAAAGCCAGCTTGAGTAGAAAGCCTATGAGACTCTTATCTCCAACTAACTACCAAGAGCCAGAAGTAGAACTGTAGCTCAAGTGGTAGAGTCCAAGCCTTGTGCAAAGAAGCTCAGGGACACAAGCTAGGCCCTGAGTTCAAGCCCCAGGATCAGTGCGCGTGCGCGCGCGCGCGCACACACACACACACACACACACACACACACACACACACACACACACACACGACTATGTAGGCACACGTGAAATACACGAATGTGAATTTATTTAGATATTTAAGTATTTCCTAGGGTCTCTTCTAACTCTCATATCACAGAAATATATTGTCAAAGTGAACTTTTCCTATTTTTCTCCCCCTGAAAAAAGGGGGGGTTTCCCAATCCACTGGCAGCTTTGTCACTATTATCAGGTTTAAAATTCTGAGGCAAATTTACCATGAAGTTTATGGCATTAAAGTTTCTGGGCTCCTCATTTGTACTATGTAAATATTCAATTTTGTACCTACTTTTGACTCATAATTATTCATTTATTTCCTTCCTCCTTCTTTCCCTCCCTCCCTTTCTTCCTTTTTTTTTTTGTGGATGGGGCGCGGGACTTGGACACTGCCACTGAGCTTTTTCACTCAAGGCTAACACTGTACCACTTTGAGACACAGCACCAATTCCACCACCAGTTTTCTGGTGGTTAATTGGAGCTAAGTCTCAGGCCTGCCCTGGGTGGTTCCAATTGCAGTGCTCAAATCTTAGCCTCCTGAGTAGCTAGGATCACAGGCGTGAGCCACTGGCACCCCATACCAGAATAATTTTTTTAGAAAGAAATATGTTTTTTGTTGTTGTTGTTTTGTTTTCACAAGTTTCCATCAAATTTCAGAATATTTCAGTGACTATCCACTTCCATGGGTTTTTCTAAAGTTAGCTAAAATGCTCAGCCAAAACAAATGATTTTTTTTTTTTTTTGGTCGGTCATGGAGCTTGAACTCTGGGCTTGGGCGCTGCCCCTCAACTCTTCAGCTCAAGGGGAGCACTCTACTGCTTGAGCCACAGCGCCACTTCCAGTTTTCTAGTGGTTTTATTGGATATAAAGAGTCTCACGGACTTTCCTGCCTGGGCTGGCTTTGAACCGTGATCCTCAGATCTCAGCCTCCTGAGTAGCTAGGATTACAGGCGTGAACCACCGGCGCCGGGCTCAAGTGATTTTTTTTTGGGGGGGGGTCCAGTCATGGGGCCTGGGCGTTGTCCCTCAGATCTTCAGCTCAAGGATAGCGCTCTACCACTTGAGCCACAGCACCACTTCTGGCTTTTTTCTTTTTCTGCTTATGTGGTGCTGAGGAATCGAACCCAGGGCCTCATGCATCAAAGCAAGCGCTCTACCACTGAGCCACGTTCCCAGTCCCCGATTTTTTTTTTTTTTAAAGTAAGTACAGGTCAAAGGAAGATAGCTCAGCCAGTTTCCAGATTTTCATCCAGACGGTCTGAAAAAGTTAAAAATGTCTACACAGACCAAAATCAGGCTGCTGAAACATATTATCTGACCTTTATTTTATTGAGCTGCCAGTATTTAGAGAGCTTTCACATAAAACTCAGACTTTCTGAGTTTTCCTTAAAAAATAAAGACCTCAAAACTAGGTGCTGGTCTTCTGAATAAAGTGGTTAGATCTGAATCTCAAGTGATTCTTTCGCGTCAATTTAGCACTGCTGCCAGGCGCCGGGGGCTCACACCTGTAATCCTGGCTACTCAGGAGGCTGAGAGCTGAGGATCGCGGTTCAAAGCCTAGCACTGCTGTCCGCAGAGATACCTTTCACCACATTTTTAGGCCTTTGAACTTGTAACTAAATCGCTGCTCTTTTACATTTCATTTTCTCTCCTTTCCCTAATCCCAACGGGAATTGAAGCCAGGACCTCCTGGCGCGCTAGGCAAGTGCTGGACCATTCTCCAGCCACTCCTCTAAGTCCACAAACCCAGCCCTTTCCAGCATCCTTGTCTTTGACTTTCACTTTGCCAAAAAAAAAAAGAGAGAAAAGGCGCAATTCTACCATCAACGCTTTTTCTGAGCATCCTGTCAGCTGTGGCACTGCAGTTCTGGCCGGACCTCCAGGAGAGCCCTAATCTTACCACGTCTACCCCGGCTTCCCATCGCGGCCCAGGACTCCAGTTTGCATCCTGCTCTCCGCGCCCCTGGCCAGACCCCTCGGCTCGGCTGTGAGTCCGTGGCAACCTTAGACTACAGTTAGATGACGACAGAAGAGAAAAAAGTAACAAGTCTATGGCCCAGAAAGCAGCAGGCGCTGGTGGAGGAACCGCGCGAGCCAAGACTGGCCAGCTCTCCCCAGAGCCTCAGTTCCAATTCTCGCGAGATTTGGCCAGCGCGCCGAGCCCTTCCGCCCCACCCCCTCCGAGATTTGGGGCTGGGTTTCTTTCTGATTTGCATAAACCCACACTATTCCCAAACCATGCTTTTCCGGAGTCGTGCTCCGGAAGCGGAAGTGCGACCTGCAGCCTGTCAAAGTCGGGGTGTTCCTCGGTGGTCTCTTTCGCCGGCTCCGCAGCGCTCTGCACCCGTTCCCGCGGAGCTGGCGCGGGGGACGGAGGTGCAGGATGAGCACCATGTTCGCGGACACCCTGCTCATCGTCTTTATTTCCGTGTGCACCGCGCTGCTCGCGGAGGGTGAGAGCCGCTCTTCGCGGATGATTGTGGGTCTCCGAGAGGCTCGAGGGCCTTTCTTGGTGGGGTGGGGGGGAGGGAGACTTGGACTCCTGGAAATCCCCGAGCTTACCCATGGGCGAAAGCCGGGGGGTAGAGTGGACCCCGTCCCCTGTCCCTGGGGGAAGGTGGATTCCACCGGCGTGCTTGTGGAGAGACACGGGCCACCTGACAGTTGGTTTGGGTTGAAAAGTCAGTTGTGTTTCCGTTTGAGAAAAGTTAAGTATGGGAAATACGGAGGAAATGTTGAAATCCCTACGACTATGACCACTAATAACAGTTTGTTGTCACCATCTCGATCGTCTCTCCGTTACCATCTTGCTTTTAATGTTGTAGGCATAACCTGGGTCCTGGTTTACCGGACAGACAAGTACAAGAGACTGAAGGCGGAAGTGGAAAAACAGAGTAAAAAATGTAAGTATGGTAACCCGTTAGCATAGTTACCACATCTCAACTTCACTTAGACCATGTTCGAAGTAAGTATTTTGAGGGAACCATCTGTCAGAAAAAACATTATAGGTAATTTAGCTTTTCAGACGTGGTAATACATACACACCTGTAATCTTGGCATCCACAGGAGGCAGAAATAGGAAGATGACTCCTGAGATCTGTTTCAAACAACAACAATAACAAAAATTAACTTGACATCTTCTAACAAATGGACAGCTGTGTGTGTGTGTGTGTGTGTGTGTGTGTGTGTGTGTGTGTGTCAGTTCTGGAGTTTGAACTCAGGGCCTCAAGACTGTCTCTGAGCTTTGTGTCTCAAGGTTAGTGGGCTACCACTTTCTACAACTATACTTTCAGTTTTGTGGTGGTTAATTGGCAATGGAAGAGTCTGACTTTCCTGCCCGAGCTGGCTTCTAACCTTGATACTCAGATCTCACCTTCTGAGTAGTAAGATAGCAGACATGAGCCACCGCGCCCCTCCCTCCCCCATCAAGAAATAGAAAACGTTTATGCAACATGTATAATAAAACTAAAATGAGGTATTCACGAACAAGGTCCTGAGGGAAGCCGCACTGTGGTTGCTTGGCCATTTCTCCCGTGTTGTCTTTGCGCGTCTGGCAGAACTTCTCATGGTACCATGTTGGGCCAAAACATCTGGAGGTTTACAACCTCTGTGATCAGTCAGGTCCACTGTGAACACAGCTTGGGGAAGACTCTGCCATTTCCAGTGGAAAACAAGTGGTGGTTACTGGCCATGATGACTATATTCTTTGGATCTGGATTTGTAGCACCCTTTTTTTTAATAGCGAGATACCAACTGCTTAAGAAATAAAGGTAGGGGCTGGGAAGGTGGCTCAGTGGTAGAGCGCTTGCCTTGCATGCCTGAGGCCCTGGGTTCAATTCCTCAGTACCACATAAGCAAAAAGAAAAAAAAGCCAGAAGTGGAGCTGTGGCTCAAGTGGTAGAGCGCTAGCCTTGAGCTGAAGAGCTGAGGGACAGTGCCCAGGCCCAGAGTTCAGGCAACACAACTGGACCCCCCCAACCCCACCAAGAAAAAGAAAGAAGGGTATCCCCTTAATTCACCCATTTAACAGATTAGAATGTTTGAAGAGGCACAGACTCTGGAAAATGGATTAAACTCTCCAACTCAGCATACTAGGTATGTTTGTAAATAAACTCCTGACATGAAAAAAACAAAACTAAAGTGAAAGAAGGACATAGCAGGTACATATTATATTCTATAATTGCTCTAAAGAAGATGTTGATAGGGACCTTAGAAGCCTTCCTGAAACAGATGAAGTACATGGTCTAGACATAAGTCCCCCACAGATAATTAGAATTTGGATAGAGAATGGGTAGGGGAAGGAAAAAAATTCCAAGTAAAGGAAATAACATACAGGCAAAAGTCTTGGAAATTTTACTATGTAAAGTATTTGGATAATGAGAAATCATTATATCTAGTATCAAGGAAAGTGTTGTCTTTAGGAATAAGCCAGCTTTCATTGGGTAAGCAGGTTAGCAAAGTTTGAGAAAATGTTTAAGAATAGGTAAAACTTTAGAAATAAAGCAGAGCCAGGCACCGGTGGCTCACACCTGTAATCCTAGCTACTGAGGAGGCTGAGATCTGAGGATCACGGTTCAAAGCCAGCCTGGGCCAAAAAGTCCGTGAGACTTTTATCTCCAATTAACCACCAGAAAACGGAAGTGGAGCTATGGCTCAAGCAGTAGAGCACTCGCCTTGAGCTGAAGAGCGCAGGGATAGCACCCAAGCCCAGAATAGCCCCGAATTCAAGCCCCATGACCAACCAAAAAAAAAAAAGAAATAAAGCAGAACATCACTGAAGGTACAATATGTCCTGGGTCTTAAACTCAGGGTCTTAACACTATCCCTGAATTTTTTTTGCTTAAGGCTAGTACTCTACCACATTTTTTCTGTTTATGTGGTACTGAAGAATTGAACCCAGGGCTTCGTGCATGCTAGGCAAGCACTCTACCTCTAAGCCACATTCTCAGTCCCAATACTCTACCACTTTGAGCCACAACTCCACTTCTGGCTTTTCTTTTTCTTTTTTCTTTTTTTGTGGGTCCTGGGACCTGAACTCGGCCTGGGCACTGTCCCTCCCTCAGCTTTTCAGTTCAAGGCAAATGCTGTACCACTTGAGCCACAGTGCCACTTCTGGCTTCTTCTGCTTATGTGGTGCTGAGTAATTGAACCCAGAGCCTCATGTCTGCAAGGCAAGCACTCTACCACTGAGCCAACTTCCTAGCCCAACTTCTGGCTTTTCTTGGTGTTTACTTGGAGATAAGAGTCTCATGGAGTTTCCTGCCCAGGCTGACTTTGAACCGCCTCCTGAGTAGCTAGGATTACAGGCATGAGCCACTGTCACCCGACTATGAATAGAGTTTTGATTATTATTTTTTATTTTTTTAAAATAAGTTTATTGTGAAAATACTGTACATGAGCAAGGTAATGAGTACATTTCTTATCAAGTATTGTTGCCTCCTCCTTTGTTTTTCCCCTTACCATCCCTTCCCTCCCATCTCTACAACTACACTCACCCCTCCCGCACCCCCCCCATCCCCCCCTAAATTGTAAAGTTCCCTTTTCTACATATTGGCTTGTACATCTCATTGTTGCAATGGATCAACCTGTATCCCTATTTAAACAATTTGTTTTTTTCCCTTCCACTCCCCAAATTAAACCAACATCAAATACAGTGAAAATGGGTTATAATGTGGGGGAGGGACATACAAAGCAACAAAAAAATCACATGATGCCTTATAAATATGTTAGAAACGATAGCAAGCAAGAAAAAAAAAAAAACAACACTTGTGTCCTTATCTTGGGGTTCATTTCGCTTAAAATCATCTTTTTTTTTTTTGGGTCCGGTCGTGGGCCGGTCGTGGGGCCTGAACTCTGGGCCTGGGCACTGTCCCTCAGCTCTTTAGCTCAAGGCTAGTGCTCTACCACTGAGCCACCTTCCCAGCCCGCTTAACATCATCTTATCTGAACTTTTCTTCTTGTCTCAGACATACACTAGTTATTGCAAATAAAGGAAGCCATGGGACCTATGTTTCTTTGGGCCTGGCTTACTTCACTTAATATAATTTTTTCCAAGTCTTTCCATTTCCTAACAAATGGGGCAATGTCATTCTTTCTGATGGAAAGAATAGAATTCCATTGTGTGTAAGGTTTGATTATTTTTGAGAAAGCGTCTTGTTATGTCATCCATGCTGGCCTTGAACACAATCCTCCTGCTTTGGTCTCCTGAGTACTAGGTTGGTGAGTGATTCTTTATAGAATCATAGGCCCTGGGCTTAATCCCCAGCATTACAAAACAAAAACAAAACAAAAAATTCTCATTTGATCCACATAGTAACCATTTGTGGTCAGTTGAATAAATGTTAGCTCCACATTATGGGAAAGAAGATTGTTACTCAAAGTTAATGATATACTTTCATCACAGAGTAAATAAAGAAAGACCAAACTAAGTCATGAAATTACAGTTTACCATTTCATATTCAGTTTTGGTAATACACGTCACTAAATTCATTATCTTTACCTTTGGAAATGTGACCCTCTTGCAGTGTCTTTATCTTAGGTGACTGGAATCTTTTAGCATCCAGTGATATAAGACAGAAATGTTGAGGTACTTTTTATTTGGCTTCTAAGCACCATATTCTTGACACTGCTGTTTATTGGGCATTCTGCAGTTTTCTTGTTGATTTCTTTTCTTGACTAACTGGTTGATTGTTGGGGGTGACACTCTCCTTTTCTTTTTCACATATGTGTATGGTACTAGGGATTGAACCTAGGACCTCTTTCATGCCAAGCAAGCACTCTTAACACTAAACTACAGCCCAGACCCTAATTTATTTGTTTTACATTCACTGCCTCAATTAATTTATTTCTGGGGCTGTATGTGTTAGAGCACCTCCCCCCAACTTGTATCTCTAGCTCCCTCCCTTAATATAATATCTAGTATTCCAACTATAAATTTTCCACCTTGATGTGACAAATGCTCAAACCCAGTATGTCCAAAATTGCATACTTGTTCCCTACTTCTGGGCACTGTCCCTCAGCTCTTCAGCTCAAGGCTAGCACTCTACCACTTGAGCCACAGCGCCACTTCCGGCTTTTTTCTTTTTGCTTATGTGGTGCTGAGGAATTGAACCCAGGGCCTCTGGCATGCAAGGCATGCGCTCTACCACTGAGCCACCTTCCCAGCCCCTTTTTTTTTTTTTTTACTTGTTCCCTACTTCTAATTTTATTTGTAGTCTTTTTGAGCTTGGTCAATTTGAGTTCTATTCTTTCAATTTCTCAGGTCATAAAACTCATGTACTTATCTTTGATTCTTCTCTCACAGTCCACATCCAGTCTATCAGCAAATACTATTGGGCTGCCTTCAGATATATTCAGAATCTGACTACTTTTTACTACCTCCTCTGGTACCCACCATCATCCAAGCACCATAATCTTTGTATGGATTATTGCAACAGCTGCCAACTAGTATTACTGAAAGTACAACTCGAACGATCCTTTTAAAACCTTTTCAGATTATGCCCATCATTTGCTCACAACTCTGTGGTAGTGTCTCATTTTCACTCAGGAACAGCCAAAGTTCTTACAGTGGTCTGAATATTCACCTTTTTCCCACTCCTTCCCATTCTCTCTGTTCTACCCTCACTGGCCTGCTTTCTATTCATCACACACTCTAGCCACACTCCTGTGCTGAGATCTTTCTGGTGGTCTTTTGTCTCCCAGAAATATTCTTTTCTGTAGTACCTGCTTGGTAAGCCTCTTAGCATTTAAGTTTTGTGGGTTTTTTTGGCTGGTCCTGGTGCTTGAACTCAGCACCTGGACTCTGTCCCTGAGCCCCTTTGATGCTCAAGGTTAGTGCTCTACTACTTGAGCCACAGAACCACTTCTGGCTTTTTCTGTTTATGTGGCACTGAAGAATCCAACCCAGGGCTTCATGCATACTAAGCAACCACTCTATTACTAAGACACATTCCCAGCCCAGCTTTTTAGTTATGATATATAGGTTACTTCTTTTTTTGTGGATTAGTACTAGGACTTGAACTCAGGGTCTGGGTGCTATTGATTAGCTTTTTTTGCTCAAGGTTGGTTGGTGCTCTATCACTTAAGCCACAGTTCTACTTCTGGCTCACAGACTTACTTGCCTTGGCTCGCTTCAAACCATTATTCTCGGATCTCAGCCTCTTTTTTTTTTTATTTATTTTTATTTTTTTGCCAGTCCCAGGGCCTGAATTCAAGACCTGGGCACTGTCCCTGAGCTTTTTGCTTAAGGCTAGCATTCTACCACTTTGAGCCACAGTACCACTTCTGTTTATGTGATGTTGAGGAATTGAACCCAGGGCCTCATGCATGCTAGGCTAGCACTCTACCACTAAGCCACATTCCCAGCCCAGATCTCAGCCTCTTGAGTAGCTAGGATTACAGATGTGAGCCACTAGCAGTTGGCCACAGATCACTTCTGAGTCTTAATTTGGCCAGTCTATTTAAAACTTTAGTCTGTCTACTTGTTTTCTCTTTACTGCTACTAATCTCCCTTATCTTGCTCCTATTTCCTTCTTACCCTCTCTGCTCCTACCTGACACGGCTCTTACACTTCGTAATACAGTGTAAGATGTACTTATTATCTTGTTATCTATAGTTTATTTCCACTTTCTACAATGAAAACATCACCTAGGTCCTGATCTTTGTAGTCACTTTATGTATACTGTGCACATAGAAAGAAAAGTGGAGATGTGAAAGTAATTATCCTCAGCTTATGTTTTGAAACATCACTTTAGGTTTGACTAGATATTACTTCAATATGTTTTTTTTTTTTTTTCTAGTCCTGGGGCTTGAATTCAGGGCCTGGGCCTGAGCTGCTTTTGTTCAAGGCTAGCATTCTCCCACTTGAGCCACAGTGCCACTTCTGTGTTTTTTTTTTTCTTTTCTGTTTATATAGTACTGAGGAATTGAACCCAGGACTTCATGCATGCTAGGCAAGCACTCCACCACTAAGCCACATTCTTAGCTTCAATATAATACTTCAGTTAATGATGTTTACTATTACTTTTATACTGCTAATGATGAACCTAGCAACATGCCATTCAAGCACCTCCAACTCTAGCCAATGATTATTATATTATTCTTAGAATTTATTCTCAATTTTAACTTTCAGCGGTAGTGGGAACAGGCTAGTTTTGGCTATCATCAGTAAGTATGACTTTTAGAGTTTTTTTTTCTCTCTCTCTCTCCTTCCTCCTTCTTCTTCTTCTTTTTTTTTTTTGCCTGGACTCTGGACCTGGGTACTGTCCCTCAGCTCTTCCGACTTTTTCTGCTTAGATGGTGCTGAGAAATCGAACCCAGGGCCTCATGCACGTAAGGCAAGCACTCTACCACTGAGCCACCTTCCCAGCCCCTCTTTCTTTCTTCCTTTAATTTTTTTTTTGTGCCAATCCTGGGGATTGAATACCAAGGCTGGAGTGCTGTCCTGAGCATCTCTTGCACAAAACTAGCACTGGTGGCTCATGCCTATAATCCTAGCTACTCAGGAAGCTGAGACCTGAGGATCACAGTTCAAAGCCAGCCCAGGCAGGAAAGTACATGAGACTCTTATCTCCAATAAAAATACCAGAAAACCAGAAGTAGTGCTATGGCTCAAGTGGTAGAGTGCTAGCCTTGAGCTGAAGAGCTGAGGGACTACACCCAGGTCCACCCAGAGTTTAAGCCCCATGACCAACAAAAAACCAAACCAAACAAAAAAACTAGCACTGTATGGCAGAGTGCTTGCCTAGCATGCATGAAGCCCTGGGTTCAATTCCTCAATACCACATAAACAGAAAAAGCTGGAAGTGGTGCTGTGGCTCAGTAGTAGAGTACTAACCTTGAGCAAAAGAAGCTCAGGGACAGTGCCCAGGCCCTGAGTTCAAGCCCCAGGACTGGCAAAACACACACACACAAACTAGAACTGTACTACTTGACACAGGGCCACTTCTGGCTTTTTCTATGATTAATTGGAGATGAGTCTCACAGACTTTTCTGCTCTGGCTGGCTTTCAACTGCAATTCTCATTTCTCCATTCCCTGAGTAGCTAGGATTACAGGTGTGAGCCACCAGTGCTGGGCTAGAACTTCTTTTCTTCATCCAGCTGTGATAGCATCTTTTATTTCCTTAGCATAATGCATTATTAATGTTTACTGTATTACTATGTTGTTTACAGTGGAGAAGAAGAAGGAAACAATAACAGAGTCAGCTGGTCGACAACAAAAAAAGAAAATAGGTGAGATATTACTATAGATAAAATTTAAAATGTTTTTGGAAAAAATGTAAGTTTTTTTTTTTTTTTTTTTGGAGGGGGGGTCTGATCGTGGGGCCTGAACTCTGGGCCTGGACGCTGTTCCTCAGCTCTTCAGCTCAAGGCTGGCGCTCTACCACTTGAGCCACAGTGCCACTTCCGGCTTTTTTTCTTTTTGCTTATGTGGTGCTGAGGAATCGAACCCAGGGCCTCATGCATGCAAGGCAAGCACTCTACCACAGCCACCTTCCCAGCCCAATTGTAAATTTTTAAATGATGAAAATGTAGTAAAACAATAATGATAAGTCATCTGGGTATAGTTTTGTAATCATAAAACACTTGTATGACGTCTCAATTGAGTCTCAAACCATTTTTTTTTTTTTTTGTGCTGGTCCTGGGGCTTGAACTCTGGGCCTGAGTGCTGTCCTTCAGCTCTTCAGCTCAAGGCAAGTGCTCTACCACTTGAACCACATCGCTACTTCCAGTTTTCTGGTGGTTTATTGGAGATAAGAGTCTGGCAGACTTTCCTGCCCGAGCTGGCTTTTAACCGTGATCCTCAGATCTCAGCCTCCTGAGTAGCTAGGATTGCAGACGTGAGCCACCGACACCCGGCTTTTATATAAGTTTTATACTTTACATTTAAGGTGATTATATACACTTCAGTCTAAATCATTTGTATTTATTGTTGCCATGGTATCCTTATTGAGTCCTGACTATTGATGGAAATAGAAGTAGGGACAGGAAATTTTCTGCCAAATAATTTTTGCTTATTGTGAGAAATAATGATAATATACTTTTATTTTTTCAGTGTAATTTAGAATATAAATTGGTGCTGGATAGTGGCTCATCCCTGTAATCCTAGCTACTCAGGAGGCTGAGATATGAGGATCATAGTTCAAAGCCAATCCGGGGAAGAAGATCTGTGGCTGGGAAGGTGGCTCAGTGGTAGAGTGCTTGCCTTGCATGCATGAGGCCCTGGGTTTGATTCCTCAGCACCACATAAGCAGAAAAAGCTGGAAGTAGTATTGTGGCTCAAGTGGTAGAGTGCTAGCCTTGAGTTGAAGCGCTGAGGGACAGTGCCCAGGCCCAGAGTTCAGGCCCCACAACTGACCCCCCCCCCCCCAAAAAAAAAATATATATATATAAATTGGTTTCCAAAAGATAGATAATATACAATCCCTAGTCAGCGCTAATTTATTGTAGAAAAGTTCTGTGCTCAGCACTTTGTATTAACCAGTTCATTAATTCTTTTAGAGAGACAAGAAGAAAAACTGAAGAATAACAATAGAGATCTATCAATGGTAAGAGTCTTAAATATAACATCATAATTAACCATATAAGATTTTTTTCCTTGTATTACAAATAGCTGATTTGCATCAATTGCTTTGCACTTGGCTTTCTAGAAATTTGAAATTTGTCACTTAAGAAAAATATAAATAATACTTCAGTGCTGTTGGCATATGCCTGCAGTGTTAACCACTTATGAGGCTGAGATCTAAGGATCATGGTTTTAAGCCAGCCTAGGCAAAAAAGTCCCTAAGACTCTTCTCCCCAGTTAATTAGCAAAAAGCCAGAAATGAAGGTATAGTTCAAGTAATAGAGCACTGGCCTTGAGCCAGAAGCTGAGGGAGAGCCCCCGGGCTGTGGGTTCAGGCTACTGGCATCAAACAACAACACACATTGGTATGCTTAGATCAAACAGAAGCTGCTGATTTTATTTTATTTATTTATTTTTTTGCCAGTTGTGGACACTGTCCCTCAGCTCTTCAGCTCAAGGCTAGTGCTCTACAACTTCAGCCACAGTGCCACTTCTGGCTTTTTCTGCTTATGTGGTGCTGAGGAATCGAACCCAGGGCCTCATGCGTGCAAGGCAAGAATTGTACCACTGAGCCACCTTCCCAGCCCCAGAAGCTGCTGATTTTAAACCCCATTATATTTTTTTAATTTTTTTGTAGGCCTAGGCACTGCCCCTGAGCTCAAGGCTAGTGCTCCATTACTTTTTTTTTCTTTTTTGGGGGGAGGTCTTGGGACTTGAACTCTGGGCCTGGGCACCATCCCTGAGCTTTGCTGCTTGCCATTAGTTCTCTACCACTTTGAGCCACAGAGTCACTTGTAGTTTTCTGGTGGTTAATTGGAGATAAAGAGTCTCATGAGTCTTTTGCCCTAGCTAGCTGGATTTTGATCCTTAAATCTCAGCCTTCTCACTAGCATGAGCCACTGGCACCTAGCCTACTTAGCTTTTTTTTTTTTTTTTTTGGACAGGGCTGGGACTTGACCTCAGGGCCTACGTACTGTCCCTGAGGGTTTTTGTTTTTTCTGTTTTTTTTTTGGGTCCGGTCGTGGGGCCTGAACTCTGGGCTTGGGCGCTGTCCCTCAGCTCAGCTCTTCAGCGCAAGGCTAGCGCTCTACCACTTGAGTCACAGCACCACTTCCGGCTTTTTTCTTTTTGCTTATGTGCTGCTGAGGAATCGAACCCAGGGCCTCAGGCATGCATGGCAAGCGCTCTACCACTGAGCCACCTTCCCAGCCCCTGTCCCTGAGCTTTTTGCTCAAGGCTACTAACACTCTACCACTTGAGGCGCAGCGCCATTTCCAGCTTTTTTTTATTTGTTTATGTGATACTGAGGAATCAACCCAAGGCTTCATGCATACTAGGCAAGCATTCTACCACTAAGACACATTCCCAGTCCCTCTACTTAGCTTTTAGAGGCTGTCACAGAGGAAGTCAAAATTTGTCCTCTTTGCACATTTCTACATTTCTTAGTTTCCTTACTTTAAAAAAAAATTAGTTTTATTTTTTGGAGAAAGGATCTGTCTCTGTAGCCAAAACTGGCCTTGAGTTTGAGATCCTCCTGCCTCTCTCTTCCCAGTCCTGGGATTTCAGGCATATGTCACCTTGTCCAGCTTCTCCTGTTTTTATTTCCTGACTTACCTTGTGATTGTTACGCAGGTGTTCTATAGCCAGCCATGCCCCCAGCCCTTCCCTTCTAGTTTGTGAAGTAGCCATTTTCTTTTCCTTCGTTAGATTAGTGCTCTGGTTTTTGGTGATTTATGTAATTCCAGTATAGGGGATAGAATGTATAGATAGTTTTATTTTAAGAGTTCTTTTATTCTGAATGTCCAATGTATTGTAAAGTTACTTTAAAATCTTTGTTCATTTATCCACTTATGAGTACCTAATTAGCAGTAGCCTAAAAACAGATAATGGTTTCTGTTGATGCTCCAGAAAGTCTAGAGGTTGATAGTCCAAGATTAGTGTAAGAGTTTGGTACTATCATCATGTCCTTAGCAAAGCCGCATTTGGTTGTTTAATGGCTGCTTTGCTTGGGACAATATTATTTATTTTTATTCTAGGCAAGAACAATGGGCAAAAGGCCTAAGGGGATGCAAATTTGTCATTTAAAAATCTCTTTCAGAGCTGTATTTATGGTTGCTCAGACCTGTAATCTTACCTAGTCCACTGAGGCTAAATCAGAGAATCAAGTCTGAGGTAGAGAATTGCTTGAGTCCAGGAGTTCAAAGTCAGCAGAGGCAACATAGAGAGACCCCCATCTCCAAAGTAAATAAATAGCCGGGCGCTGGTGGCTCATGCCTGTAATTCTAGCTACTCAAGGAGGCTGAGATCTGAGTATCACAGTTGCCCTGGCAGGAAAGTCTGTGAGACTCATTTAAAAAAAATTTTGGCCAGTCTTGGAGCTTGAACTAGGGCCTAGGCACTATTTCTGAGTTTCTTTTGCTCAAGGCTAGCACTCTACCACTTGAGCCATAGTGCTACTATTAGATTTTTCTGTTTATGTGGTACTGAGGAATTGAATCCAGGGCTTCATACATGCTAGACAAGCACTCTACCACTATGCCACATTCCCAGCCCAGACAAAACTTTTTTTTTTGGTCAGTCTTAGGGCTTGAACTCTGGGCCTCGATGCTATCCCTGAGCTTTTCAGCCAAGGCAAGCACTCTATCACTTGAGCCACAGCGCCACTTCCAGTTTTCTGAGTGGTTTATTGGAGATAAGAGTCTCACACAGACTTTCCTGCCCAGGCTAGTTTGAACTATGATCCTCAGGTCTCCGCTTCCTCAGTAGCTAGGATTACAGGTGTGAGCCATAGGCACCTGGCAAAACTTTTAAAAAAAACATATAATTTTATTGTTATTATTAAGGTGTTGTATAGAGGGGTTGTTAGCATTTTGTAATCAAGTAATAAGCACAGTATATTTTGCTCATGGTTTTCTTTAGTGTAAAATGATAATTTATTGATTTCCTTATAGGTTCGAATGAAATCTATGTTTGCAATTGGTTTTTGTTTTACTGCCCTAATGGGAATGTTCAATTCCATGTGAGTATACTTTTATATGTTCTTGTCTAATAACTATATTCTGTATTTGCATATGTGAGCCATAAACTTTTTGGTAATATTATTTTGATTTAATTTCAAATTTATATTCTAGTACTCAGGCACAAGCACACAAAGAACTGATATCTTTCCATTGATATGTGTGTGTGTGTATACATATATATGTGTATGTATATATATGCATATATATATTTTTTTCTTTTTCAATGCTGGAGTATGAACTAAAGATTTTTTTTTTTTTTTTGGGTCTGGTCATGGGGCCTGAACTCTGGGCCTGGGCGCTGTCCCTCAGCTCTTCAGCTCAAAGCTAGCGCTCTACCACTTGAGCCACAGCGCCACTTCTGGCTTTTTTCTTTTTGCTTATGTGGTGCTGGGAAATTGAACCCAGAGCCTCAGGCATTCAAGGCAAGCACTCTACCACTGAACTAAAGATTTTATGCTCACTTAGTTCTCTTGCTTGAATAGTGCTACTCTACTACCTGAGCCATTCCAGAAGCCCAGCTTCTTTGCTGATTATTTATTCTTATTTATTTATTTATTTTTGTCAGTCGTGGGTCTTGAACTCTGGGGGCCTAGGCACTGTCCCTGAGTTCTGCAGTCAAAGCAAGCACTCTACCATGTCAGCCACAGGGCCACTTCCAGTTTTCTAGTAGTGGTTAATTGGAGATAAGAGTCTCATGGATGTTCCTCTCTGGGCTGGCTTTGAACCATGATCCTCAGATCTCAGCCTCCTGAGTAATTAGGATTACAGGCATGAGCCACTGGCGCCTGGCTTTTGCTGATTATTTTGGAGATGAAGTCTACCAAACTTTTGTGCTGTCTTTGAGCCATGAGTCTTTATTTATTTATTTATTTATTTATTGGTCGTGGAGCCTGAACTCTGTGCCTGGGCACTGTCTATCAGCTTTTCAGCTCAAGGCTAGTGCTCTACCACTTGAGCCACAGCACCACTTCCAGCTTTTTCTGCTTGTGAGTTGCTGAGGAATCTAACCCAGGGCTTTATGCATGCAAGGCAAGCAAGCACTGTATCACTGAGCCACTTTCCCAGCCCGAGCCATGATTCTCTAGATCTCAGCCTCTTAATGCTTAGCTACAATTACAGGTATGAGCCACTAGCTCCAGGCTGTTTCCTCTGGTTGTAAATTAACTACTAGTGTGTTTCTTTAAGTTGAAATTCACATAAAGATAATTTGGCTCAGTGGTAGAGCACTTGCCTTGCGTGCCTGAGGCCCTGGGTTCGATTCCTCAGCACCACATAAGCAGAAAAAAATAAAAGCCGGAAGTGGCCCTGTGGCTCAAGTGGTAGAATGCTAGCCTTGAGCTGAAGAGCTGAGGGACAGCGCCCAGGCCCAGAGTTCAGGCCCCATGACCGCCCCCCACTCCAAAAAAAAAAAAAAAAGATTCTTTGACTCTTAAAATAGCCTTAACAACTATAATTTTGTTTAACGACAAGGTCAGTTACTGTTGACTAAACCACAGTGCAGACCCAAGTAACTGTTGAGCAGCTTTTGACAGAAGTTAGGAAAATGTCCAAAAATAACACCATTTATTACCTTTTCAGAGATCATCTGAACTATATCACATACATTAGCATTTCCTTTACTTTCTCTTTTCCTTCTCTTTCACTTATTCTTTCCCTGCTTCCTCTTTGTCTGTCCATCTTTCCCTGACTTGCCTTCCCAAGTGCAGGCTTCCCTTCCTGTTTACTTATTGTAGACTTTATACCAGACACCAGAAAATAATAAAGAAGATGTGACCCCTGCCCTCAGTCATGTAAAATTTTTTTGTGTGTGTGTGTGTCCAGTCGTGGGGCCTGAACTCTGGGCCTGGGCGCTGTCCCTCAGCTCTTCAGCTCAAGGCTAGCGCTCTACCACTTGAGCCACAGCACCACTTCTGGCTTTTTTCTTTTTGCTTATGTGGTGCTGAGGAATCGAACCCAGGGCCTCATGCATGCAAGGCAAGTGCTCTACCACTGAGCCACCTTCCCAGCCCATCGTGTAAAATTTTTTTAGTTGTTTTTTTTTTAATATTTTGAGGAAGGGTCTTTTTATTTAGCTCAGGCTAGAATTAAGCTCTTCCTTCCTCAGCCTCTCAGGTGATGGGGGTATAGGTATGCATTACCTTAGTAGTGTAAGGTATAATAGGGGAGAAAGAAGGAAGTTTTGTTTTGGTGAGAGATTTAGATTACTCAAAATGATTTTTTTTTTTTTACATCGTGGGGCTTGAACTCTGGGCCTGGGCACTTTCTCTGAGCTCTTCAGCTCGGAGCAAGTGCTCTAACACTGGAGCCACAATGCCATTTCTGGTTTTCAGGTGGTTAATTGGAGATAAGAGTCTCATGGATGTTCCTGCCCAGGCTGGCTTTGAACCATGATCCACAAATCTCAGCCTCCTGAGTAGTTAGGATTACAGGCATGAGCCACCAGTGCCCCACTCAAAATGTAAAATTTTAATGTAAAATTTTGACTTAATAGTCAAGTACATAAATGACTTGGGCAAGGTATCTAGAAGTCCTATTTATTTCTGTTTTAATAGTTTTAAACCAAAGCCAGTTACTGGTGTCACATGCCTGTAATTCTAGCTACTTGATCTGAGGATTGTGGTTTGAAGCCAGCCCAGACAGGAAAGTCCACGAAACTCTTTCCTCCAGTTAAAAGCTCCACCAAAAAGCCAGAAGTGGAGATGTAGCTCAAATGGTAGTACTCTAGCCTTGAGTGAAAAAGCTAAGGAATAATGCCCAGATGATGAGTTCAAGCTCCAATACCAGCACCCACTCTTCCCCCCAAAATAATATTTCAGAATATTGTGTATATGATTTAGGTTGTTTTTGTTTTTGTTTTTTTTCTGGTCGTGGGGCTTGAACAAATGACCTGGGCCTATCCTTGAGCATCTCTGTGCTCAAGACTAGCATTCTACCACTTGATCCACAGCGCCACTTCTGGCTTTTTCTGTTTATGTAGTCCTGAGGAATCCAACCCAGGGCTTCATGCATGCTAGGCAAGCATTTTACCACTAAGTCACATTCCCAGCCCCTTGTTTTTTTTTTTTTTTTTTTTGCTTTACCATTTATATATCCCATAAATTCCTATTCAGTGACTTGTATCTGTTTAGTGTAGGCATAGGAGGTCTTTCAGGCTTGGAAAAGAAGGTTCATAAAATCATATTGGCCCAGCAATAGTGATATACAGCTATAATCCTAGTTGCTATGTAGGTGGAGATTGGGAAGATATCATCAACAAGCTTGGTGTGGTTGTGCATATCTGTGATTCCTGATAAGCAGGAGACAAAGGTAGAGGGACTGTAGTGGGAGTCTGGCCTGAGAGAAAAAGCATAAGACTCCTGTCTAAAAAACAAAGCAAAAATGGGTTACAAAAATGGCTTAAGTGGATGAGTACCTGTCAAGCAAGCCCACAGCCCTGAGTTCAAATGCCAAAACTGCCATAAAGTATCTGGTGTTACAGTTTAGAACAGTGGTTCTCAAAATATAGTTTGGGTTTTTCTGCAAATCTTTTCAGGAAGTCTTTGAAGTGCAAAACCATTCTAATAATTCTGAGGTGTTATTTGCCTTCACTTCTAATGTTATGTATATTAATAGCTATAACTGCACTAACAAAAGCTTTTAGAGAAGATTCTCAATAATTTGTCAGTATGTGAAGTTTTTATATCAAAAAGAGTTAAAAGCCAGGTGCTGGTGGCTCATGCCTCTAATCCTAGCTTCTCAGGAGGCTGAGATCTGAGGATCACAGTTCAAAACCAGCTCAGGCAGAAAAATCCGTAAGACTCTTATCTTCAATTAACTACCAAAAAACTGGAAGTGATGCTTTGGCTCAAGTGGTAAAGCTCTGGCCTTGAGCTGAAGAACTCAGGGACAGTGCCCAGGCCCAGAATTCAAGCCCCACGATCGACAAAAAAAAAAGGAGTTAAGAGACTAGTGGGGTTAATCTAGGCCCATTAGTGTGTCACTGTCCTTCAGGTTCATAACTGTATAGCTTATCAGCCTCCTTTGTTTTTCCAAGATCAAGAGTATTAAAGTTCTATTTCTGTCCCAGGTTCTTCTCTAAAAGTACGAGGTTTGATACTCTTCCAAAAAATAACAATTCTTCGTTTCATTCTGCTTTGCCTTCTTAGATTTGATGGTAGAGTGGTGGCAAAGCTCCCTTTTACCCCGCTGTCCTACATCCAAGGACTGTCTCACCGAAACCTTCTGGGAGATGACACCACAGACTGCTCCTTCATATTCCTGTATATTCTGTGCACTATGTCAATTCGGCAAGTGAGTGACTGCATCTATTATTTAATATTTAATATGTGTAAACTTCCTGTTTTCATACCTAATATTAGCTTTTCCTTCCCTAATACTGGAAATGTTTATCTGTTGCTACTGAGATCTTTCAGTTGCTTTTAGAATTCCAGGGATTATCCTAAAACTATTTTAAACATAGGCAAGTCTCATCTTGCCTATGAAGAGAAGAGATATAAAGCCAAATACGATTTTTTTTCCCCTGCCGATCCTGGGGTTTGAACTCTGGGCCTGGGCACTGTCCCTCAGTCTATTTGTGCCCAAGGCTAGCACTCTGCCACTTGTGCCACAGTGTCACTTCTGGCTTTTTTGAGTAGTTTATTGGAGATAAGAGTCTCATGGGGTCTTTTCTTTGCTTTTTTTTTGGTTCCGGTCGTGGGGCCTGAACCCTGGGCCCCTCAGCTCTTCAGCTCAAGGCTAGCGCTCTACCACTTGAGCCATAGCGCCACTTCCAGCTTTTTTCTTTTTGCTTATGTGGTGCTGAGGAATCGAACCCAGGGCCTCAGGCATGCAAGGCAAGCGCTCTACCACTGAGCCACCTTCCCAGCCCTCATTGGGTCTTTTCTGTCCTGGCTAGCTTCAAACAACAATCTTCAGATCTCAGCCTCCTAATTAGGTGTGAACCACTGGCACCCAGCCCAAATATGATTTTCATACTCTGTTCTTAGAGCTCCCAGGTTCCTTCTTCACTGCATCTATTTAAAGTTACAAAAGTAGAGTGAATTTGGATTTCCCAGAATCATATCTGTCTGTCTTTCTTTCTTTCTTTCTTCCTTCCTTCCTTCCTTTCTCTTTCTTTCTTTCTTCCTTTCTTTCTCTCTCTCTCTCTTTCTTTCTTTCTTTCTTTTTTTGCCAGTCCTGGGTGGGGCTTGAACTGATGGCCTGGACTCTGTCCCTGAGCCTTTTTGTGCTCAAGGCTAGCACTCTACCACTTGTGCCACAGTGTCACTTCCAGCTTTTTCTGTTTATGTAGTACTGAGGAATCGAACCCAGGGTTTCATGTATGCTAGGCAAGCACTCTACCACTAAGCCACATTCCCAGCCCAGAGCCATGTTTTTCACTATATACCAGAGCCCTTTGACAATTCAGGAACACCAATGATTTTGTGATTTTTATTTTATTTTTTTAGGTTATTTACAATTGAGATGAGTCCTGGGCATTAATAGTGAAAAGCCAAGCGAATTGGAAAGGTGATGAGAACCTAGAAGAAATACCAAACATTCAGTTAGTAGGCAGAGGTTTATAGAACTAACTAGCCTTTGAGATGAATGTTTGCTATTTTATTTTTGAGACAAGAATCTCATTATGTATTGCCTGGGCTGGTCTCAAATTTTGGGGCTCCAGCAATCCTCTCACCTCAACTTCTTCAGCAGTAGGGACTATAGGCATGTATTACTTTACCTGGCTAAGATTAAATGAAGGCCTGGTGACTCATGCTTTTAATCCTAGCAGTTGGGGAGGTTGATATCAGAAGGATTACAGTTTTTGGCTAGTCCAGGCAGAAAAATCCAAGAGAAGCTGTGTGTGGTAGCATATGACTGTCATCCTAGCTATGATGAATTTCACCCATTTCAAAATAACCCACGCTAAAAAGGACTAGAAGTATGGCTCGGTGTTAGAGTGTTTGCTTAGCAATCATTAAGTCCTAGGTTTAAATTCTAATACTGAAAAAAATTTTTTTTGAGATTAAACTTTAATCTCAGGGTCTGGGTACTGTTTCTGAGCTTCTTTTGCTCAAGGATATCACTCTATCACTTGAGCCACAGTGTCACTTCTGTTTTTTTCTGTTTATGTGCTACTGAGGAATGGAACCCAGGGCTTCATGAATACTAGGCAAACATTCTACCACTAAGCCACATTTCTAGCCTGGGCTCAGTGGTAGAGCGCTTGCTTTGTGTTCATGAGGCCCTGGGTTCGATTCCTCAGCACCACATAAGCAAAAAGAAAAAAGCTGGAAGTGGCGCTGTGGCTCAAGTGGTAGAGTGCTAACCTTGAGCTGAAGAGCTGAGGGACAGCGCCCAGGCCCAGAGTTCAGGCCCACGACCGGACCCAAAAAAAAAACACAAAAAAAACTTTAACCCTAAACTAAAGCAATTTTGTGATATATTACTAATTCATATAACCATTGTAAGTATTACTAATTCATATAAACATTTGAGTCTGGTTATCATCTATTATGTGTTTCTTTGTGTGTCTATCCTCAGGCTTGAACTTGGCCTGGGTATTGAACCTGAGCTTTTTTTTTCCCCCTCTCAATGGTAGTACTCTACCACTTGAGCTTGCAACTCCACTTTGGTTATTTTGGTAGTTAATTGCAGATAAAAGCCTCATAGTGGGCTGGGAAGGTGGCTCAGTGGTAGAGCACTTGCCTTGCATGCATGAGGCCCTGGGTTCCATTCCTCAGCACCACATAGCAGAAAAAAGAAAAAGCCAGAAGTCGCGCTGTGGCTCAAGTGGTAGAGTGCTAGCCTTGAGCTAAAGAGCTGAGAGATAGTGCCCAGGCCCAGAGTTCAGGCCCCACAACCGGACCCAAAAAGAAGCCTCATAGTCTTCCCTGCCTAGACTGCCTAAAAACCAGATCTCAACCTTCCAAGTAGCTAGGATTACAGGTGTGAGCCACTGACACCTGGCATTATTATGCGTTTCTTCTTTTATGTTTTTCCAATTCTGTGATTATATGTATGCCGTTGACTTAAGAGCTTTCAAGGAAAAGCAGAAATAATATTCCACTAACAGATATTTGAAAAGTGCAGGGGAAGTCAAGGGAAGGGTGGTAAATGAATAGAGGAAGTGGGGAGAATGCAGTCATAATATTCTAGGAAAATTGAGAAGTGTAGAGCTGGAAGGGCTGGAGGAGATAGAGGTGACATGGCTCAAGATGCATTGTATTCATAAACTGATTTGTTGAATGGTAACTCCTTTATACAATCAACTAAAGATAATAAAAAGGGCTGGAGATGTGGCTTAGTGGTAGAGTGTTTGCCTAGTATTCATGAAGCCCTGGGTTCCATTCCTCAGTAGCACATAAACAGAAAAAAACAAAAGTGACACTGTGGCTCAAGTGATAGAGTGATATCCTTGAGCAAAAGAAGCTCCGAAACAGTACCCAGACCCTGAGTTCAAGCCCTAGGACTGTTAAAAAAAAAAAAAAATCCTAGCTATCACCTTGTCTTCATTTTTTTTTTCCTGTCAGTACTGGGGCTTGAACTCAGGACATCTAGCTCTCACTGACCTGCTTTGCTCACAGCTGGCACTTTATCACTTGAGCTACACCTCCAAATCTTCAATTTGCGAGTAAATTGAAGATGGAGTCTTGAGGCCTTTTGGGGGCATTTGTTTGTTTGTTTGTTTTGCTGGTCTTGGGGCTCAAACTCTGGGCCTGAGTGCTGTCCCTCAGCTTCTTTTTTCTCAAGGCTAGATCTCTACCACTGAGCCACAGAGCCCTTTCTGGCTTTTTCTGTGGTTTATTAGAGATGTGTCTCACAGACTTTCCTGCCCAGTCTGGCTTTGAACCTCGATCCTCAGATCTCAGCCTCCTGAGTAGCTAGGATTACAAGTGTGAGCCACCTATGCCCAGCTTTGGGTTGACTTTTAATTTCCATCCTTCAAATCTCAGCTTCCTGAGAACTAAAGTAGGATTCCAGGCATGAGCTACCAATTCCCTCTTGACTGAGTATCCTTCAGAATGCCAGACAACGTCTCTTTGCCTTAATTTTATAATTAAGTCTGAAAAAAGGATTGGTGTAAAATCTCATCATGCTATTATTATGAGATTAACAATGACTGAAAACAGACTTTGGAGTAATTTTAATATTAGAACAGTCTTCCATCCCCCAGATAGGATTAAATTTCTTTTTAAGATTAAAAACATGTTTTATCAACTAAAAATAAGTGTAATTATCTCTTATCTTTCTCCTTAACTTTTGTTTACTTCCTTAATGTTTAGTAATTAGCTACCTTGACCTTCACATCACAGCTGTTTCCTCCATGTAATTTTATAGCAGCTTCCTCCAGAAGTGTTAAATTAGACCAAGGTAGCGGTGGAATTAAAGAATACAAAGAAGCCTGTCATGATCCATGCCTGTAATCCCAGCCCTCAGGAAGGAATATCCTCTGAGTTTGAGGTTGGCCTAGGCTATAGAGCAAAACTATCTAAAAAAAAAAAATTCCCCTTTATTTTGAATCAATAGTAGATCGAATAAATGGTAGCCTACTCTATAGGAGTGATCTAAACTTTAGTAAACCAAGCCAATTTACCAGGTGAACACCTAAGGAAAACTGGTCTATTAAAACTGGTTAAAAGGGTCTCAAGTAAAACTGGTTAAAAGTAAAAAGGCTTATTAGTAAATGGTTCTAAGGGAGAATCAGAGAAAGAGTTTATCTTATTTATCACACTTTTTTTTTTTTTTTTTTTTGAACTCTGGGCCTGGGCACTGTCCCTCAGCTCTTCAGCTCAAGGCTAGTGCTCTACCACTAGAGCCATGGCGCCACTTCTAGTTTTCTGGTGGCTAATTGGGGATAAGAGTCTCACAGACTTTCCTTCCCAGGCTGGCTTTGAACCTTGATCCTCAGATGTCAACCTTCTGAGGAGCTAGGATTATAGGCATGAACCACCAGGGCCTAGCTCTGTCATACTTTTTTTTTTTTTTTTTAATTTAATTTTATTTTATTTGAGAACATACTGTACAGAGGGGTTACAATTACATGGGCAGGATAATGCATACATTTCTTACCAAGCTCTGTCATACTTTTTAATATACATGTTTATAATCTGAAAATGTCACTGTCTTCTGGAGGTTATATGTGCTCAGGGCAGTGAAAAAAGGAATGTGGGTGCGTGCATGCTGTCTCTTGAGTGTGCTAGAACTCAGAGCCAAGGCACTGTCTTTGAGCTCTTTTCCTCAAGGATAGTGTATTACTTGAGCCACAGCTTCACTTCTGGCTTTTTTTTTTGCTTGTCATCGGGCTTGAA